ACTCCTGGCCTAAAGCAATTCTCCCACTTCAGTCTCTCAAAGTGCTGGAATTACAGGCGTTAGCCAATGCACCCAGCCAAAAATTTCTTTCCTCTATAAAATTGCTGTTTTGTTTTGGACTTTGACCCTGATACTATTCTTGGAGGAAGGCTTAATTGAACCCAAGATTTATATCCAATTAATAGAATTTGTAACTTCTTTTTAAGTAACTTTATGGGATAGAAATGACAATGTGTGATTCAAATGAAAGAATAATCCTAGAAGCTTTAAAATACTTGGTAAAGATAAACATACTTCTCCATCATTTTTGATGAAAAAATATTTTAAAATATTATTAAAACTGTCATACTTCCCTAGAAGTCTTAAGGATAATCTTTACTTTTGATGTAGATAGTAAGAGGAGAGAAATTAAATTTTTGGAGGGAAAATTAGAATAAAATTGATATTATCAATAGTGTGTGCAGTAATTATAGAACTCTGGAGCTGAAACTAACCTCCTTCCTCCATTTCCAAACGGACTGTTAATCTTAGAAATGAATTGGGTCTTTCCTGTCTCTCTCTCTCTCTCTCTCTCTCTCTCTCTGCCTCTCAGACTGTAAAGGATTTCCACCCTTCCTATCCCATCCTATTAAATAAATTAAAGTAGTAAGAAAGAAAGTCCTCTTTAAGGCATTTATAGCATGGTTGAGATGTATGTGATAAAGTTTACACAGGTAAATGGAATTTTAAAAGTATATCACATGATGTAAAAAGATGTAAGAATAATATTTTGAAGCAATTTTAAAGAATATATGAAAAATAACTTTTGTTACACATTGGTCCACAGAGTTAAGCGAAGTTTGGAAACAAGTCATCTAAATTACCTAACTCTATGTACAAAAAAAAAGAGGCTGCATCTGCTTATTTTGGTGAGAAAGAAGTAAACTGACAAGCAAGGTGACAATTTCTTGTTTATAGCTGTGATATTATAAAATGAGGACCAGCTTGCAGCTACTAAAATAGCAAGTGACCTTCTGCAGCTCAGATTTCAACCACTCAGCGGGTTTTTTCCACCAAAGTGGCTTATTTTAGCTCTCACTAGACATTTCAGCAAATGGTGCTCTCCAAAGGCTACGGTGTCTCCGATATGGATTGCACCGGTGGATTCATTAGAATTCCACATCCTGGGAGTGGGGAAAGTTGAGTACATCTTTAAAAACTGCTGCTTTCAGTGTTATTAGCAAGAGCACCCAGTGGCCCAACTGCACCAAGCTAAGCTTCAGGTAGTATGGTATGAAGTAATTCGAATTTCGGTGATGTAAGCCAGGGGTCCCCAACCCATTGGGGGCTGATGTTAATATTTCATTATGTATTATCAATGTAATAACAATAGAAATAAAGTGCACAATAAAGGTAATGTGCTTTGATCATCCGAATACCCTCCCCACTCCCCAGTCCATGGAAAAATTGCTTCTGAAAACAGTCCGGCTGCTAAAAAGTTGCGGTAATTGATACAGGAGAACAAAATAATGTAAACTTAAGCTTTTAATGAACTTTGCAATAAATCTCCTATAGCCCATTGCCTGGCAATTATAAACACTGAGGCAAATGGTAGCTACATTATCACTGTTAGACTATTCGTGATATAGTTTGTCATCAGGGCAGCAATGTGATGAGTCCAGGGGAACAATAACTTAAAGGGAGATATTTAATTTGCAATCAGTGCTACCGAGAAAGATATTTCAGTATCTTATTAGAGTTTTTCAATCAAATAAGTGATATATGTAGAAGATGTACTCAAATGCTATTATATGATGAGTTATATCTGTTGGATCAGCATGAGATTCTCTAGTTATTCACTGCTTGTAATAATAACAATTTTTCTGGCTTATAATAATACAATTTTTGCTTTTAAAATCTATATTCAAAGTTTTATTAGATATCTTCCTATGGTATGAAAAAGGGCAAACATTACTTCTACCACTCATGTTAAAATAGATTGGTATTTCATGGTTCATCACTTTCAATACTTGGTCATTCTATTATTAGATCAGAAAAGACGTATCTGTTCTCCAGTAGTACATAATGAAATACATAAAGACTTTATAAGCTCTATAGTCTGTTCAAACTTGTTCTTTCTTGGTTAGTTTGTTTTCATTTCAAAGATATTCCTGATTGTTGGTAATTTAAAGGCTTCAGGTTTATAAAAAAAACTATATTGCACTTGCAAAATTGATATATGGAAAAAAGTTCTTCTGTTCCTTTGGTGAATTCTCAGAACTGTTGGCTAAACTGAAACATGTTCTGGGCTGTCTGCACCAAAATTCGGGTTCGTAGGGTATGAGAAGAGGTAGGCACAATTAAACAAGTGGGCAGGTGAACAATAGGAAAATGAAATGGACTGCATGCTTCAGGTCCTTCCCGGGGTGAGGCCTTCCTGTCTCCCTGAGTCCTCAGGTAGAAGGAAGGGGGCTGCCATCACACTTCGGAATCTGCCATCACCTGAGGCCTTATCCCAGTGATTACTGTTATTGTTATTGTGTGGTACTGTGTGTTCCATCCATCCATCCCCATGTTCAAGACTGCTATTCAAGGAACTGGACAGCAGAGCGCTGCACGGGTGCCTTCTATAATCATACAAATACGTTTGAGAAGCTTATTCTATATCAGGTCCAAGGTACAGATAAAAACCAAAGGCATTCTTTTAGGCAATCTTAATAATATCACTCTCATGTCATGATGCAGATAGAATGCTATGGTCATTGCGGGATCCCAAGAGAAGAAAGCATTCTAACTCAGTCTAGGGAGTGCAGAAGAAAATCACAGAGGGTTTGTCCACATGAATCGAGATAAGATGTACCTCGGTAGAGACAGTGATTGTTATGAAGGCACAGTTAGAAAACTGGTAATAGGCTCTAGACGTAGGCAATTCTACATTGCTTACATCTTTCCGGAACCTTGTCTCTTTCAAATATCTCCCTTTGGAGGGAAAGGAAGTGAGGGTCCAAGAACAGAGTGAGAAAACTTAGACCAGTTTTCTACAGAGTTAGTAAACAGTGCTTTGAAATTGGGTTGTTTTTGAAAGAAGGCTTCAAGTGTTTGCAACAAGGTGCCTGGAGAATGGGAGGATGGGCTCAAGGGAATTTGTGACTGGAGTGGGGACAGCTGGAGTCGTGCAGGACTAAGAAATTTACTCTTACAGGATTTTGGACTTTATCTTAAATTCTTACCTTGTAGGAACTGAGCTAGGGGAAGCTGTAGAGCAGGGATGGGTGACGGTGGCTGCGTGTTTTTGCTTTGGAAGGGTGACCCTGGCATAGCAAAGATGAGTGGTTTTAGTAGTATGTGAGTTAATCATGCTGTTGAAAAACTGAGGCAAACTATGAGGGAGGGTCTGAACGTGGTGATAAGAAGATAAAGGTGGGGCTAGTTAAGACGAAATCCTGAAATGAGAATGAGCAGACTGCAGATGAGTCAGTAAAGACAGAGAAACAGGTTTAATATATAAATGGCTTGACAGATGTTGAGTTGATTGAAGGTTGGGGATATTGAAATGTGCTATCCATCCATCCATATCATCCACCATCCTCCATTCCTTCCATCCATCCTCACCCATCTATCCTCCCATTGTCTGCCTTTTTCACAAGGGAATTTAAAAGTTAAGATTGACTCTTTGTTTGATGATTTCAAAGCTAGCACTCAAATGCTTTGAACAGTAAGCATGCACAATTATTTCCATGCCCTCTGTGGTGAGAAATAAAGGTCAATCTTCTTGGCCATAGGGCTCATAATTGGCACGAAGGCAAGGCACAGTAGCGCAGTTGCAGACGCCTTCTCCCCTTTCCGGCTTAAATAATAGAAACGTTGCTTATAGTATATAAAGATAGTTTAGTTGTTTTCTTTACTATTTTTTCCCTCCTTTTCTTCCTTCTCAATTAAACAAACTCAAGCTCTTAGTCCATTATGTAAAAACAAACCATTGCATTGAGGAATAGTGATTTTATCGACAGACTTCCTTGATGCCATTTTCATGGGCACCTGATGAACATTAAATTCATAATATTTTTATATTGTGTTCTTTTTCCAGAACCTACAGAGATTATGTTTTTGGTATAAAAAGAACTCCGAGAGAAAAGATGTCAACTCAAATCAAATCACTCTTGTAAGTAATATAGAATTCCCCAAATATATTTTAGTCCTTGGGTTATTTTCTTTGAAATGAGAAAGATAAATCTATGTGTGTTAATTCTTCTTCTTATGGACCATAGCAATACCTGCTCCTGTGTTTTCTTAGTTATATAAAAGTAGTAAGATTTAATTGTTGTGGTGGAGAAAAATCAGTATATTATAATCATTTATTTAGATATACACACATTTACATATTTTGTTAAAATTCCATCTCTAGGTAAATATTATAGTTGAGGGTCTCTAGCCCAAAGGAAAGTAATGTGAGCACTGAAAAGCAACAACAAACTCCTTCCTTAAAAACTTCTTCAATGGATCCAAAGAAATAGCCATAATAATAATATAATAATGATATGGGATGAGTTGTCCTCTTTTCTTGGGCCCTTTTGTAACAAGTAGGGCAAGAAAAAACATTTAGAATGCTTTGTTCTATATGTTTGCTGTGTAAGTTTGTGACTACTGCTGTGATCACTCAGTTGCTCCTGTTTTTTGCCTGGACCCAGAAAGCCACCAAGAGATTTTCTAAAATCATCCGATGAAGGCACAGTCTCTGCAGTCACTCAAACAGGGCAGCAGTTTTCAATAAGGGCAGTTTTGCCTCCAAGGGAACACGTGCCGATACCTGGAGACATTTTTGGTTGTCACAGCTGTGTGTGAGGGTGGTGCCACTGGCCTCTAGTGGGTAGAGATCGAGGATGCTGCTAACTATCTTACAGTTGACAGGGCAGCCCCTACAACAAAGAGTTACCCAGCCCCAAAATGTCAATAGCGCTAAGGTGGAGAAAGCCAGAAGTAGGGCGATCGCAGAATAACTTTCCCATAGTTTCTCAGAGTACCTTGCTTTGATATGCTTTAATTTCTTCATAGGTGTGGGTCTGCCACGCCAGCTGGTGCAGCTCTTCCATGGTGTACTGACACGTCTCCAAATGGGACTTGATGATGTTCTGTGCAATTCGATCTACGAGAAAGAATATCATTTTGAGGGTTTGTGAATAAAATCACTCTGCTTGAGAAATTTGCTTTTAATGTGTTTACTATAGGAGTGCCTTTTGGAGATAATCCAGTTGCATTAAAGCGTCGTTAACACTACTATCTATCTCAAAATCTCCAGACAGACTCTTTATTGCCGTCTTTCAATTTTCAGAATTTTAATCAAAATTTACTGCACCCCCCTCTTTGATCACAGCCTTGAGAGTTGCAAAACATTCGAAATTATTTATTTATGAAATAGATACAAAATTATCATATTTCTCGCCTTTTGTTCTAAAAGTCAACTAACAGGGTTTACATACTCCAGATACTTAAAAATGTTTTGACAATCACTAGAACCCTCTTCTGTATCTCAGATAGGGAGAATTAAAATATAAATGTATTTGCTTATATTTTTAAAAAGGGCAACTAAACAATAGCCTAAAAAACAGGTTATCTAGGGAGAAACAAGGGAATAGAATGGAGGGACAGGGAAAAAAGTTAGACTTCTCTGATGATATTTTTTTTTTAGATTTTACTTTGGGGCAATGTAAAGATATTACATAATTAATAATGGGAGAGGAGGTACAGATGATATAATATGGGCCCATGAATTGATAATTATTGGAATTGGGTCATGGGGGGTCATTATATTCTTTTTAATTTTTTATATGATAAAATTTTTCTTTTAAAAAAGTTTAATAAAAGAGAAAAGATTATATTCATAGACAGTGGTAACAAACACAATTAGTCATTTTAGGCAGTTTATCCCAAATGAGTTGTATTTTATATTGTGTCTTTATACTAATCATATTGGGTTTGGAAGTATGAAAATGGAGAAATAGAACCAGACATAAGACCTCTCTTTAAAAAAATCTTCCCCCTGGAAGGAGGAAAGAGCTAGGAGGAGGTCCCTTGTAATCACACCTGCTATTTGAACATATGGAGCAGGTAACAACTTGGGAAGCCAAAGTATTCAGGAATTCTGCTTGTGGGGTGTGACTGGAATGAACATGACCAAATATTCTGCTTGATACCTGCTCTTGGCTCATATAGAAATGGAGTTTTTCTTGTGTTTCAGGTTGTGTCATTTTAAATACAATTTCTGTTCTTTCTAAATGGCCAATTTCATTTCTCCAGGAAAGCCCTCAAAGCAGCACTTGGGTATGCTCTCTTTACCTCAGGTACGTACGGTATGAAGTAAATTCAGGTACGTACGGTATGAAGTAAATTCAAGAAGCTTCAGGTACGTACGGTATGAAGTAAATTCAATTTCAGTGATGTAGAGCAGGGGTCCCCAACCCATGGGGAGCTGTGTAATTATTTCATTATGTATTACAATGTAATAACAATAGAAATAAAGTGCACAATAAAGGTAATGTGCTTGAATCATCCCGAAACCCATCCCCCACCCCCAGTCCATGGAAAAATTGTCTTTCATGAAAACAGTCCCTGGTGCTAAAAAGTTGGGGATAATTGATACAGAGAACAAAAAATGTAAACTTAAGCTTCTAATGAACTTGCCAAATAAAAATCTCCTATAGCTCATTGCCTGGCACATTATAAACACTGAGCAAATGGTAGCTACAATTATCACTGTTAGACTATTCTATATAGTTTGTCATCAGGGCAGCAATGTGATGACTCCAGGGGAGACAAAATTAAAGGGAGATATTTAATTTTGCAATCAGTGCTACCGAAGAAAGATATTTCAGTACTTATTAGAGTTTTTCAATCAAAATAAGTGATATATGTAGAAGATGCTACCAAATGCTAATTTATGATGACAGTTATACTCTGTTGGATTCAGCATTGAGCATTTCTAGGTTTTCACTGCTTATAATAATACAATTTTTTTTCTGCTTATAATAATACAAGTTTTTTTCTTTAAAAAAATCCTATATTCAAAGTTTTATTGAATATCTTCCTATGGTATGAAAAAGGGCAAACATTACTCTACACATCATGTTAAAATAGATTGGTATGTCATGGTTCATCAACTTTCAATTTCACTTGGGCATTCTAATTACTTAGAATCTAAAAAACGTATCTGTTCTCCAGTAGGTACATAATGAAAACATAAGACTTTATAGCTCTATAGTTTTCAAACCTTTATCTTCTTGGTATAGTTTGTTTTCATCTTCAAAGATATTCTGATTTGTTGGTAATTTAAAGGCTTCAGGGTTTATAAAAAAAACTATAATTGCCACTCAAAATTGTATTATGAAAAAAGTCTATCTGTTCCTTTGTGATATTTCTCAGGAACTGTTGGCTAAACTGAAACATTCTCTGGGCTTCTGCCACCAAAACTTCAGGTTCTGTAGGGTATGAGGAGAGGTAGGCACAATAAACAGGTGGGCAGGTGAAACCAAATAGGAAATAAAATGCACATGCATGCTTCAGGTCCCTTCCCGGTGAGGGCTTCCCTGTCTCCCTGAGTCCTCAGGTAGAAGGAAGGGCTGGCTGCCATCACACTTCGATTCTGCCTCACCTGAGCCTTATCCCAGTATACTGTTACTGTGGTTATTTGTGTGGGTCTGTGTGTTTCCCATCCCTTGAGATGTTCAAGATCTGCTATTCAAGAACTGGACAGCAGAGCCCTGCACGGTGCCTTCCTATATTCATTCTACAAATACTTTTGAGAAGCTACTTCTATATCAGGTCAAGGTACAGATTAAAAAACAAAGGCATTCCTTTTAGGCATCTTACAATAATATCATTTCCTGTCATGATGCAATAAATGCTATGGTTATTGCGGGAGCCCAAAGAAGAAAGCATCTAACTCAGTCTAGGGGAGGCAGAAGAATAATCACAGAGGAGTTTGTCACATGAAGAGAAAGACGTACCTCAGGTAGAGGAAGTGATGTTATGAAGGCACAGATAGAAAACTGTAATAGCTCTAGGCTAGGCAACTTCTGACATATCTTACATCTTTCCGACCCTTTTCTCTTTCCAAATAATCTCCCCTTTATGGAGGAAAGAAGTGAGGTCCAGAAAGAGTGAACAACTCTAGACCAGTTTCTACAGAGTTAGTAAACAGTGCTTTGAAATTGGGTCTGTCTTTTGAAAAGAAGTCTCAAGTGTTTGCAACAAGGGTGCCTGGAGGAGATGGGGAGAGATGGGGCTCAAGTGAATTTGTGACTGGAGTGGGGACAGCTGAGTCTGCAGGACAAGAAATTTCATCTTACAGGATTTTTGGATTTTATCTTTAAATTCTACCTTGTAGGCAACTGGAAGCTAGGGGAAGCTGTAAGGCAGGAGGGTGACGTGGGCCGTGTTTTGCTTTGGAAGGGTGACCCTGGCCATAGCAAAGATGAGATGGTATTAGCTAGTATGTGAGATTAATGATGCTGTTGCAAAAACTGAGGCAAGCTATGAGGAGGGTCTGGACTAGGTGGTGATAAGAGAGATAGAGTGGAGGGGCTAGATTCAAGACAATCCTGAAATAGAATGAGCAGGACCTGCAGATGAGTCAGTAAGACAGAGAAAACATTAAATATAGTAAATGCTTGACCAATATTGAGTTGGTGAAGGTGATATTGAAAATGTCCATCTATCCATCCATCATCCATCCATCCATCCATCCATCCATCCATCCATCCATCCACCCATCTATCCTCCCATTGTCTGCCTTATTTCACAAAGGAATTTAAAAAGTTAAGATTGACTCTTTGTTTGATGATTTCAAAGCCTAAGCACTCAAAATGGCTTTGAACAGTAAGCATGCACAATTATTTCCCATGCCCTTGTGGTGAGAAATAAAGGTCAATCTCTTTTGGCCATAAGGCTCATAAATGGCAACGAAGGCAAAGGCACAGTAGCAGCAGTTGCAGACGCATTCCTCCTTCGCTTTCTCCCACTGTTCTGCAGTGCAGAGGTGAGCCACGTGCGAGAACCAACTTGACCCTCTCAAAGCTCAGGTCGATAAAACACGCGGTAACGCTAGACTTGGTCTCATGGGAGCAAGACTAGAGGGCTTATTCTGTCGATTAGAAAGATGCCTGAACATCAGAGGAGATGGTTTGCTCGGACTGAGAGTCTGCAGTTGTGAAAAGGGGAGAAGGACTTAAAAAGAAGGGATAAAGGGAGAGACAATGAATACAGTATGCAAAGTTCCTGCTGGGAGCCAAAGGAACTTTCAAGAGTCCTTGCCTGGAAAAGTAGAAAAGGTAAGAGTAAACGTAGTCCTCTCCAGGGACCAACCACATGAGAAGGTGCAGACAAAGGAGGCTAAGGTAAAAGAGCAGAGGATACGGAATCTTTCTGGGCAATCTCACATCCGTTACCCTGACTTGGATTGCAGCTGTTTCTCAGAGCTCAGTTTTTGTTGGATTCTTTAACTAGCTTGGGCTGCAGATGGTACATGTTGAAGAAGTTGTCAGCATGCTCCGTGCTATGAAAATCGGTCCAACGGCAATATGGTCCAGATAACTAACTGATGGAAAATCCTACCACCTTCCAAGGTGATGTGCATGGACTCCACACTCTGCTCTTCCTGAGACCAGGAATGAGGCTGGAGATTCCTTAAATGGATGTGAAAGGGAACCTGTAGTGAAAATGCAGCCACATCTTCTCAGTAGTTAAGATTCTCTATGTATGTTCAGTGAGACAGAGGTTTGTTTGTTCTCAACTTGCTGACAGTGTATGGGCTGCTTTGATAATTAATAAAATGATGTTGAGGAATAAGGAAAACTATATGCTCAGTCCAGTCACTCCTTTTCAATCATAATGAGGCCAAATGAGAACACTGATGCAGGCAAGGGAAAATTAGGTATGTATTATAGGTTAATATTAAGTCTATGTTCCTTATACTCTATTTGTTAGTTTCATGAAAAATAGCTTGCTCTCATTTTCTCTCACTTCCATTCCCTTCTACATTTCCATGTATCTGAACATATAAAACTTTTTTTTCTTTTTTTTTTTTTAGAGACAGAGTCTTGCTCTGTTGCACAGGCTGGAGTGCTGTGGTATCATGATCCTCCTACTTCA